ACAAATATAATCATAACTAGATTAGCACAAATAATACAACTTGGATCTTTAACACAAGACGATTAGACCTTAAATCAAAGAGCACCAAGCTCTGATACCAAATGTTAGACCCTAGGGGGGGTGATTAGGGTCTTATGTTAATCTAATCCGATTTATGCCAATTAAAACTAATAAAAAGTTATCCTAGCAAGTATGAAATACAACAAGATATATGAGCTAGGATAAGCAATATGAACAATGAGATATATCCTAGCAATGAGATATACTATGAGATATATGCAAGGATATACAAATTAACACATGGGTGAAATAAACATAAACAAGATAGTGGGCAAAGTAAATAATGAGACAATGGTGATATGAGCAATGAGCACAAATAAGAATAAACGTCAAAGTACACTCAAACACAATCAAATGATCACGGAGTTCGGACCTTCCGTCCTACGTCTCCACTCCCCACTCCCGGGGAGAAATCTACTACCACAATCCGGTTTAGAAGCCGAAACTTCTACACACTCGGTTTTCTAGCTAACCGAAAACTCTACAACTCACACTCTTACAAACCCACTCTACACCCTCACAAGTGTTAGACCTAGCTGTGTCTCCCTCAAGTGCTCGGTTACAACCTCTCCCTAGGTTCGTCAACCGACGTCACTCCTCTTGGGACGATCCCCGACTCTTACCACACACTCCTCTCGGTGTACAAGTGTATTACAAAGTGATCTCACGATTAAGCATAATACAAAGAATGCTCAATTGTTACAACTCTCATCAACCCAAATAATATATGTATGAAAATACAATAAGCTCAAGTGGGTGTGTGTGTAAACAATGAGTAAAATCAAATCTAACTCAAATAACAAACTAGCAATAATAAGAATATGAAAATCAATAATAATATTGCTAGAGAAAAGAGTTAGAAAACTTCTCTATAAACACAAAGAGAGGATGTGAGGATATTGAAGATGAACTCCTCAACAGATGATGCAAACTCCTCTTTGTAACAACAAACCCCAAAAACAAACTAAACAAACTTAAACTCTTTTAAAAATTATTTAAAATATTTCTTGGATTGGGTTGAGAACTGAGATCAAGGGGGTATTTATAGCCTCCCAAAAACTCAGCCAAGAACCTCAAACAAAAGACCAAAAAACCAACAGAATCGAAAATCAGATTCTGTACAAAATATGACCGTTGGGCGATCGGCGATCAACCGTGGGAAAATCGCGATCAACCGTGAATGTCATTGAAACTGAGAAAACAAACAAAACAAGTTACTGTTTGCATCAAAAGTTGGTTTTGCTGTGGAATTCATTATATCTTCGTTCAATTACAATAAATTCAAAGAAATAGTCTTTTTATAAGACCTCTTTTACACAACAAAATGAAAAACTACAACTCTTGGGAAACAAACGCAGGATCGTTGTTTGGATCGCTGCTTGCGTGGGATCTTTGCCTGTGCCGGGAGCGCTTTGACTCGTGGACCACCAAATCACAGATTCTGATCGAATCGTGAGGGGTTTATGATTCTGACTTCGTTTATCGAAGTGAGAACTTGAAACGATATCTTATCAAGGTAAGATAGTCGTTCTTCTTGAAATCAAGTCAAAGCCTGAATATCAAGGAGTTACAGAAGCTCGAGTACTCTGCCCTCTCTGCTCTGAAATCAGCCTGTGGATGCTCTCTGATCAGCCTCCTTCAAAAATGGCCTTCGGGGGGTATTTATAACCCATAGGAACAGTTGGCGGAAAACAGGCTCGCGAGACAGCATTTGCTGTCTCGGCTGTCGAGACAGTGTTTGCTGTCTCGGCGGGCGCTCGCCCAGCGAGACAGTAAATTTGCTGTCTCGCCCAGCGAGACAGTAAATACTGTCTTAGAAAATGAATATTCCTGACAGTTTCTCGCTGTAACTGCCTTCTCACGTTTTAAACTCCGTTATTCTGGTAGTTATCAACGTGATTCTCGCCCACGACGTTCCCCACGTTCTTGAACAGTTGGTGGCCACGTGTCGGTGGTTGCAAAATAGTTTTTTGAACCACTGATAACTGTCTCGCGTGCGAGACAGTAAATTCTGTCTCGCACGGTGAGACAGTAAAGACTGTCTCGCACCGAGACAGTGAAAACTGTCTCGCGTGGGCGAGACAGTAAAGACTGTCTCGCCTGCGAGACAGTCTATACTTGTGTTCTTTTTTAACATTTTGGATGACTTCCTTTTGAACTGTGTTTGGATACCTTTGAGCATTTTTTGACGCCTACAGTTACGGTCGACCGTGAGAACTTACAGACTGACGGTCGACCACCACGGTCAACCGTGAAAGTTTCTGCTGGCTTCTCAGGAAAAAACATGGGCATGGTCGACCGTGGCGGTCGACCGTGAACTGATATATGAAATTTCAGGTTTAAAAACAGTTTGCTGATTTTTAAAACACTGTTTAAAAATATCAAATAAATTCTAAAAATTATGAAACTTTGGGAAATGATTATAGACATGATAATACACATGCTACAAAAACTGGTTTTCTAAAAGGATTTCCCAAATGAGAAATATCATCATTTTGCAAAATAATCCAAAACATGAAAATGTAAACATATGAATTTTGACATTTTGGCTAAACCATGTTTTGAAACTTTACAAAATAATTTTATAGACTTGAAAAAAGATGTAAACTATTGTTATGAAGTCTATAAATAATGAATGTAGTATTTTATCAAAATACACATATAATGCACTAAAACATGATTTCATTAAACTAAATAAAATTGATATTAATGAAATCATATATATGCATATAAGTATGAAACAAAAATATGTTTTCTAATTATATTAAATTGTTTCATATTAAAACTTGAAAACTATCAAACGAAAACATATATGTATATATATAACTATATATATACAAAACCAAAACGTGTATGTGTGTATATGATTGAGCTTAACATACTTAACACACATAATATAAATCCTAAACTAATTACCCAAGCTTGATGAAGGTTTTCAATGAGCTCAACTTGGTACACTTACGGATGAAGCTTGAACTTGTATCTTTAACTTGAATGTACATTGCTTCACTCCACTATTCCGCCAACCTCCATTGGATATGATCGTTGAAGCTCTATTCCATCCATCCTCCAACTCGTTGTTTGCCTAGAATAAATACGAAAACACAAACACTAGACAAACAACATTAGAAGTAAATTGTTTGTTAAACATCATCAAAACAAGAAGGCCAACATTAGCTCCTTTCAATAATCTCTGTTTGCACAATGCCTGCAGTGATTTTCCCCTTGCGTGCCCAAGTCTGAAGTGTCAAAGTCTGCTAGCATCCGCCTCTAAAACTGCTGAAGCTACCTGACCAATCTCGGTGTTTCCCTTCAGATAATAAATATTTCTATTGCGGACACCTTTCATCACTATCAATAATCCTTTAGTAACTTTAGTTACAGCGTTCTCAAAAGTTAACTTGAATCTCTTTGCCTCCATAGCTCCCATAGATAAGATTCTTCTTCTGTTGAGGAACAAACCTTACTTCATTCGATTCTCTCACAACTCCATCATGCATCCGAATCCTGACGGTACCTATTCCACAAATCCCATAGGATTGATTGTTTTCCATGACCACCACACCTCTATCGAGTTTCTCAAAAGATGCAAACCAATCTCTCTGGGGAGTCACATGATAAGTAGCATCAGAATCCAGCATCCAATCCGATGCTTCCGCATAGTTAATCTCTGGAGTAATTAATAGAGAAAAACATGAATCATCAGAATCATTACCACTCTTAGCAACATTCACCTCACTGGCATTTGGGTCATTCTTCTTGTTATTCTCCTTCTCTCTCAGCTTCGTGCAATCTCTTTTCTAATGTCCTTGTTCTCTGCATAAAGCACACTGGTTTTTCGCAATTTAATAGTGGCCTCTTGACTTTGACCTGCCTCGATTGCCACCTCTAGGATAAGAACTCATTCCTTTTGTCGACAAGGCTTCTCCTGAAATATTAGCTCTGGAAGACTCTTTATCCTTCTTCCTCAAATCAAAATTTGTCAATGCATTAGTCACTTCACTATAGGTGATGGAAGATCTATCATTCAACAATATAAGCACAAATGTATCAAAATCCTCATCGGGTAATGAGCCTAACAAAATGATCACCTTGTACTCATTTGATATCTTCTCATCCACATTCGCCAAGTCCGACAACAACTTCGTATAGTTGTTCACATGATCTGCAAGTGAGGTACCCCTGAACATCTGGAATCTGAATAATCTCCGCAACAAGTGCAACCGATTCTCAACACTCTTTGTAAGATACTTGTTGTTAAGAATCTCCCACATTTTCCTCGCAAACGTCACGCCAATAACATCATATTTCAACTCTTGTTCTAAACAAGACCTAATCACCCCCACAAACATTTCTATTCATCTTGTCCCATATCGCCTCGTCATATTTAGGTTGTGTCTCATGAGTTATTATCGTCTCTTCTAAATTTTGAACATTCAAAGCATCTTGCACATCACTCATCCACAACCCAAAGTTGATTTTACCGTCATACTTCACCACATTGATCTTCGTATTCTGAAGCGCAACCTGAACTATACTTGATGTAGCCTTGTTACTTTCACCACTTTCTCCTACCATTAACTTACTAACTTCAACTTGTAGAGAAAAATTCGTCGACTGATAGAATTGAGAACTTATCCAAATTAAACCCTAGATTGGATTCCAAAACGATTTCCCAACCGCCCAAATCAAACCATAGATCTGAAACCCTAAGCTCTGATACTAATTGTTGCGCTTGGCGGAAGCGGACTCAAAATTCACAACGAGTCGGTAAGCAATGCACGGAGAATCACACCGACTGCAATCCACAATAGAACAACCAAAATCAACGCAAACACAGAGAATTATGTGATTCGGCAAATTGCCTACGTCCATGGGGAGAGGATGAGGAGATTTCACTATATAGAGGAGAAATACAATATGTTACAACTCTCAAACAATCACAATAATCCTAACCAACAAGATCTCACTCCCTCTCAATAATCTCCCTCTCAAAGTGCTTAGACAACTCTATTTTTCTGATCTTAAAACCCTAACAAAACGTGTTTCTACTATAAAACCCTAAACCAAAACAGACAAGGAAACAGATTCGGCCCAATAACCCGCTATCGGTCGACTGATGAAGCATCATTAGCCAACCGGTAGTCCATCATTAGTCGACCGGTAATGGTTCATCAGTCGATTGTCCAGTGCGACGATTTTCACAGTTCCCGCGTGCATGTTATCGGTTGACTGGTCTAAGAAATCAGTCGACCGACCAAAGCTATTTTGCCAGCTTCGAATTTTTCCTGTATTCGCACCCTCTTGCAACATAATGAACAATGAGAAACAATAGCGAGAAATAAATAACTCCAACAATAAATTTAGTCATTGCTTAATATGAAACTTCTAAAGATATATAATGTAAAACTATCTTGAGCTTGCTTCTAATGAAGATGTTACATGATACAATATGAGACACATGTGGCCTAAGGAGGGGTTGTTGGTTGGGATATTTTGGGGATTCTATTTCAAAGTGTTATTCATTGGGACAATGGAACAAAGATAATACATTTTTGTGTTATTAGTGTTTTGGAACACTAGTGAGACAATTACACCACTTGGGATAAAATTACCCCACTCATATACAAAAATTTTGTCCCAATAGTAAAAATTTATCACATCCTTCATATTGGAACAATGTTGTTCCACTTTGAAGGTAATTGGGATAATTAAAAATATTTTTGTATTACTTAACTAATACATGCTAATTATATTATAAATATATGACATGATATATAAAATTAACATATATTAATATTTTAATAACATAATTTAATAGCATATATTAATAATATTATATAATGGTAATTATAGTATAATGTAATTATTATAATATTATATAATATTTTAATAACATATATTAATAATCTTATATAATAACATATATTAATATTTTAATAACATATATAATATTTTAATAACATATATTAATAATATTATGTAATAAATTATTATATAATACTAATTAGTATATTATATCCTATTATACTATATATATAGTATAGCATGCTAATATAATATAATATAATATAATATAATAATTAATAATAGTAATTTGTAAGTATAGTATAATATATTATATTTTAATATAAAGTAAAATAATATTTGTATTATAATAATATACTAAATAATATACTAAACCAATTGGATAAGTTAATTTAGAAGTAATTAATAGATAAAATTATATTTTAATAAGGTGCCATATCATCAATTATCCCACATGAATTGTCAAATCAAATGCTCAAATTATCCCACTTTATCCCACTCAAAATATCTCATAGGGGTAAAATTATTCCATTGGAACAATTTTCCCACTTGGCCCCAATTTGTCCCAACCAATAACCCCCCTAAGCAAACATATATATTTTTGGTCCGGGTCAATTTGTAAGACACACAGCATCAGATCCTACAACACTTGCACTTTTCAAAAGTACAGAGTTACATAATAGATGGTCCTCACCTTTGGTGGCTGCCTTCACAAAAGGAGTGATCTCTTCGCCTTTTCTTGAAGATAAGCTGCGGCTTCGTGGCCTTCAGTTCTAGATTCCTCTTGCAGGCAAAATACCAAGGGCATCAATGTACCGCATCGAATGGACATGATCAGAAAGAAGAAAAGGATAACGTGGGGCTAGACCGATTGCCTTTCGACTCTCTCGCTCTTCATTTTACAGTCTTTGTTATTACAACAGAAGTTATCCTACAGAGGTTAGCACACAAGAGCATATCATAACTCTAAGATAGTTCAATGTACCTAACAACACCAACCAAGTGCAGTAAAAGGATTTATTAGGCAGTTTAACTTGCTAACTTCTAAGTCTGGGATAAAAAATAAAGAAGCACAGAAGATTACGCTGATAGCTTCATACAATCATCATGTGGGGTTAATAGGTAAATAGAACGGAAAGAATCATTTTCAGATATCCTTGAACGCGAGAAAAATAATCATAACAGGGCAGAGTCTATCAAATAGCGCTACAGAACCATGGTACATATCTCAAAATCTACACTTTGCAGCGTTTGCTTGAAGGAACCAAAACAAAGGCTTTCAGAACACTGTAAGAAGCATTTTCGACAGACCATCGAAACATTTAACCACAATTTATAGGCAGACACATGCTACTAATTAAAAGCACCGTAGAAGAATATTATAAGGAGCTACAGAAAAAAATTTGAAGATAATATCGTAACTCATAGGTACACGCATACTACGTACATACATAAATACATGAACACCTACAGTTAATGAGAAGAGTGTTCCATGATACACGCATACTACGTACATGCATATAAACATAAATATCTACAATCATTCATACTTGACATGTACATGCGTGAGTATCTTGAAACAAATGAAGCAGATAATGAGACCTTAAGTGGTGCTCGTCGAAAAGGCACATGACCGTTCTATAACCCAATTCAAGAAATGGTTTTCCTATAAAATCTAGAAATGGGCTCATCTTTATTAGCTTGCTGCTCGGAAAGTTGAGTTTATTACCCACAGAATTTAAGAATGTACTACAGGGCTGCACTTATTTTAACCCCCAATTATATGGTCATCCTGTGGCATTTTATGAAGGATCTTGTAACTATTTGTTACAAACATCAACTAGCAAAAGATGAAAACCATAAACAACAAATGATTATAAGTGAACATTAGCAGGATGGACCATACACCGATTGAAAAAGAAGGTAAATTTCACCCTTCATAAGGTATAAAATGATCACTACGCAAAAGGATCTTCCACGAAACGTAAAATTACTACTTCATCGGGTTCGATTATTGTTGATTACTTTTCTACTGGAAAAATCAGCATATGCTTTCTGAAGATGTCACAAAAAGTAACAGATGTGCACAAGATAATTAATGACCGCGGTGTTGTGCGCAGCGGAAATTTCGGCAGCATCTCCGGTGCGCAAGGTGCACAACAAGAGATTAGATCACAACGGAATTCTCGTTTCTCAAAGGAAACAAGAACCGAAAGCCAGATATCTCATCAAAGTGAGATATCTGCTCTTCCTCTCGTCAGCTCTAAGACTGCGCGTCGAGGGTCCTCTCGTCAGCTCTAGGACTGCGCGTCGAGGGATCCTACAAGCTATTACAAATCACGACAAGAACAAGCCGCTGCTCCTTCTTTTCTCCTGCTGCAACCGCCAATGTAAACCCCAAACTTGCGCACAGAACCCTAGAAAATCTCGTGGGTATAAATAGCCTAGTGATGCGGTTTACAACCAATGCGAACTTGGGCCTCAGGACTTGTCCGCTGGATCTTAGCTTTGCCTTCACCCGTGGTCCATTATCATTTCACGTGAATCATTTTCACGCGGTTTACTTGGCCAACACTGTGGCCCCCACCCATTCACAATTCTCCACCTCGGTGAAGTTTTTCCAAAACTGAGCCGACACCGACCAAACCAAATGCCTCACTTGTTGTATCCAGTACGTCATGGCAACGGACTCATGACAACGGATTCCATCCACAACAGGTCGAGACCCAAACGGGAGTGCGAACACTCACCCAAAAACAAATAGTGTCTACTCACCAAATCAAACTGAGCCTACACCGACTACACCAAATGCCTCACTTGCTGAGACCCAAATGGGAGTGCAAACACTCACCCCAAATGTCGATGTCGCTCACCAAATCGATCTCACCCCCATCAACTAATCCAAACCCGGCTGCATCTGAAAGACTGCCTACGTATCCTCTTGCCCAAGGAATCAAGCCGAACGTAGTTCACCCAAATGGCCTCCAAAGGCCCTCAAACAAATAGAAAAGTCTGCAACTCTTCTTCAATATCACCAAACGATCTGCAACTAATAGCACTCCCAATAGCTCCAAATTGAGACAAATCAAACACCTCCATCTGAGGTGAACCAATGGCCGTATCCAAATTAAGTCCATCAGCTGCAATCGAATCCAACTCATCATCTGCATCCAAATCCAAATGATCCCCAATCTGTGTCAAAATGTCTCACTTGTTGTATCCAGTACGTCATGGCAACGGACTCATGACAACGGACTCCATCCACAACAAGTCGAGACCCAAACGGGAATGCGAACACTCATCCAAAACAACAGTGTCTACTCACCAAATCAAACTGAGCCTACACCGACTACACCAAATGCCTCACTTGCTGAGACCCAAATGGGAGTGCGAACACTCACCGCAAATGTCAATGTCGTTCACCAAATCGATCTCACCCCCATCAAATAATCCAACCCGGCTGCATCATAAAGACTGCCTACGTATCCTCTTGCCCAAGGAATCAAGCCTCACGTAGTTCATCCAAATGACCGCTAACGACCTCAATCAAGAAGAGTTCGCAATCCTTCTCTAATATCACGATCAAGTCTACGGCTGATAGCACCTCCAATGGCCCCAAACTGAAATAATCCAAACATCTCCACCTGAGATGAACCAATGGCCATATCCAGACTACATCTATCAGCTGTTCTCGAATCAATCAACCTATCATCTGCATCCAAATCAACACGATTCCCAATCTGTGTCACATCAGCTGGAATCCCAAATGATGCAGTATGATCTGGAGTCTCCATCCAACGTGGAGTAGCATCACTCTCCACCCGCTGCGATGTCCCAAAGATCTGATCACCACTCTCCACCTGCTGAGAGTCAAACGTGACATGCATGCTCAGAACAAAGTCAGAAGCCAATACCTGATAATCAAACACGCCTCTGAATCCCAAATGTTCTATCGGATCAAATCTCACATCCACGATGTGACCAAGTGCTGGGTAACCAAACATCCTACGCAACCCAAAATCTGAAGCAGCTCCACCAGATCCAAAATCTCTACATGCAGCAGTCGGCAACCTATACATAAGATGGCCCAAACATGTCGTAGCCCGCACACCAATGCCAATGCTCGACATCAAACGCCGATCCTCCTCCAGAAAGGAACAACTCCCCAAATTTACCATCTCGCCTCGTCGCCTCAAAGTTTCCACACCAATGAAGTGTCTCCAATTGCCGTGAGCTCGGCACAAATGCAGAAATAGGTCCCTCTTGTACCTCCCTCTAACATCAGACTGAAGTACCTTCACCTTTCTGCCAATACACTTCCTCCATTTGTTGCGGGCTTCTAGGACTTCACACCAACGGGATTTGGTTGCGACCCACCAATGCCTAGAGCAATCCCCAACTGCGGAAACCACATACCTATTACCTCCCAATAATGCTCCCTTGGAAGGCCCCCGAATGCCTGAATGAACACCCCTCAGAAAACCCCTCGAATGATGGATAGAAGTGCCAAACTCCATCTCGGTCTTCTCGCTCATACCAATGGGTTCACAGGACTTCAAACTGCAGGTCAAAACACTCCTCAAAAATCTATGCACGACATTTCCAATAAAATAACCCAGCATCAAACAACGCCACAGTCTAGCCGAATCTGATGAAGTCGGTCATCTCCCTATCAATCTCTGTGCTTCCGAGCAAATAATACAAATTGCTCCTTCTGACGCCCTTCATCACAATCATGGACCCCGATGTGACCTTCAAGCGAGAATCCGCTAAGGTCACTTTATAGCCAGATGCCACCAAAGCTCCTAGTGAAATGATGTTCTTCGACAACTGCGGAACGAACCTCACTTCTTCCAACTCCCGTACAATCCCGTCACTCATCTTAATCCGAACGGTACCAATACCACCAATAGAGCATGCATGTCCATTACCCATGAGCACAACATCCTCTCTTTCCAACTTCTGAAAGCTGGAGAACCAATCCCTCCTAGGGCAAACGTGGTATGAAGCACCCGAATCCACCATCCACTCTGTAGAGTTGGCAACACAAACTGACGGTAGTGCAGACAACGAATAGCCCGAAGAATCCGAATCTGAATCGTTGCCACTAGTCTTGACAACATTCACCTCTGAAGCTTGTACAGCTTTCCCCTTATTCTTCTCAGGTCAATCTAACTTTGGGCATTCAGCTTTCTAATGTTCATCCTCTTTACAAAAAGCACACTGATTCCTACGAATCCCACGATGTGCACCTCTAGACCGCGACCTTCTGCGTCGGTTTGAACCACGGCCTTGAACTACTAATGCATCTCCCGATGCCTTCTCGGAGGACTCATCAACACTCTTCCTCAACTCATAATTCACCAACGCTAAGGTCACCTCATTGTAACTAACAATAGTTCTTCCATTAATCATAGTTAGGACAAAAGTACCATAACCATCATCGGGCAATGAACACAAAAGTAGCATCGCCTTGTCTTCATCCTCAACCATGATATCCACATTAGCCATGTCTGAAAGTAGCTTTGTGAAGTTATTAACATGCTCCCTAATGGAAACTCCCCTCTTCATCTTGAACTGGTAAAACCTCTTCTTCAAGTGAAGCCGATTCTCAATGCTCTTAGTAAGATACTTTTCATTGAGTGTTTCCCACATCTTCTTCGCCCCTTTGGAGACCAATGATCGAGGACTCACCCCCCTTCTAGAGCCCAACGTATAGTTTCGCCACAAACTCCTCATGATGCTGCCATGTAGCAAAGAGATTGCGTCAAGCATGCAACCTCACCACCAGACTGGTCGACTCGCACCGAGGAACCTTGTTGAGGCCTCCTCCTTGATTCTGAATCCACCGGCGAGATTCCCGGTCCTAGTCGCCCTGGAAATCACCCTAGAGGAGTAATCTTTAAGACTCTCCTCCACCATCATACCTCTCCAGCCCTCTCTGCCACCCTGAGGGCATCCGGATACGATCGGGTGTATAGACCGATCGTAGAGGCCATTGGGGGAACACCCCCCTTTCCAACGACCTCATGAATGGCCCATGTGAGAAGTTCAAGATGCCTCATATGGAGAAGTATAGAGCGAAGGAGACCCCTCCGAGCACATCCAGAACTATTATGATGTAATGAGCATGCTCCAAGCTTCGTAAGCTATTATATGCCGATACTTCCCCATTACCCTGTCAGGGAGCGCCAAGCTCTGGTGAAACGCCCTTGAAAAAAAGTCCATCAGCAGCTTCCAGCAGATCAGCCGGAAGTTCATCCACCACTTCTTAACTAACACCAAACAGAAGCTGCCCCCCTCATGTGTTGTTCCAGATGAGGCAAGAGCCCGGAGAGAGCCTTCGAGCTTACTTCAAGAGGTTCCAGGTGAAGAGGCTAGAGGTTAATGACCCAGGGAGTGCGATCGGATACCACTTGTTGTGCGCAGCGGAAATTTCGGCAGCACCTCCGGTGCGCAAGGTGCACAACAAGAGATTAGATCACAACGGAATTCTCGTTTCTCAAAGGAAACAAGAACCGAAAGCCAGATATCTCATCAAAGTGAGATATCTGCTCTTCCTCTCGTCAGCTCTAAGACTGCGCGTCGAGGGAACCTACAAGCTATTACAAATCACGACAAGAACACAACTTTTACGTGGTTCGGCAAATAGCCTACGTCCACGGGGCAAGGAGGGGGGAGATCTACTAATAGAGGGAGAGATACAACTGGGGTTTACAATCTCACAATCTAAACCCTCTCAAACAAACTCTCAAATCCCTCTTACAAATATTCTCTCAAAGGGGGAGACACAAAACCCAAGCACAACACAAATCAGCCTCCAGCACTTTTCTTCTGCAGCAGCCGCCAAAAGAAAAGCAAACAAATCAGCCGCTGCCCCCTGTACTTCTTCGTAGCCGCCCACTTTGACGCCCAAATTTGCAGCCGCAAAACTCCTGCCTTTTCTTTTGCTGTCGTACAACAAGAACCCCTCAACTTGCTCTCCTTTGCCCTAGGAAACAAATAATATATATAGCCTTGGTTTGTCGGGTGGGCCTGGGAATTCGGGTCGGTGTTCACGAGAACACCTCACGCGGGGTCTTTGGGTGCACGCGGTTTTCACCTCAGTCAATTTGCTCACGTGTGGTCCCCCCCACGTGATTCACACGCGGAACAATACTTACAGGCCAACAAAGTTCATTTACCTGAGAGTAAGCAGAACAAATTCGACTACAAAAATCCTTCTTTACCAGAATGAATTCAACAAAAGTGACACACTAATCACACAATAATATCAGGAAGCAGAAGAGTTAGTATAAAGGACACCGTTATATATAAAAAGCAAGCGGCGCCAATCATGCGCAATATTGAGTATAAACTGATGGAAGAAAATGAAATGAATTAAATGGAAGTGAAGGTGCAAAGAGTTCCAAACTGTTTCCTCTCTCAGCTAGAGGTATTCAGACAGACGTATATACAGCTCACTAGAACAAGTAGCCGCTAGCACAAAACGAAAGAGGATAAAATCGGTAATGTGAAAGTATAAACTTCAACAGGCTTTAGAGGAGGTCAAGCTTCAACGAGTTGCCCCCTTAAGATACAAACCAAACTCTTTCATCTCCTCCAAGAGTTTCTCTGATGTACGCCAATCCTCTGATGTACGCCGTGCTCCTTCATTTCCTTCAAGCAATCAAGGGCCCTTTCAAACTCCCCGATTTCGCAATAGCCACGAGTAAGAATATGATGAGCAGCAGGGCTAAGCTCAGCATGTCTTTTCTTGGCTTCACAAAAGATCTTATAAGCCTCATCCATCCAACCGCCCTCTGCATATCCACCCGTCACAACGGTATAAGTACATACATCTGGCCGTGATCCTCTACCCTCCATTATTTTCAACAAAGCTACCGCATCCTCGAGTTCTCCTTCTTTAGAAAGCGCGTTAATCGCAATATTGAAATAAGCTTTCCTTGGAGTCTGGCCTGATTCAACTATTCTCAATAGCAATTTTTTTTACCTCCTCGCTTTTCTTAACCTTACACATTCCATTAACAATGGCAGGAAAAGTCTTCGTCGCGGGTTTAAATGAGTTGATCGGATAGTTCCCAAGCAACTCCAAAGCTAAAGAAACCGTTTCATCATTTAGCGCAAGCCTGCGAATTAATACATCCACACTAGATCTTGGTGGAGATAAATTCTTCTCCTCCGCCGTCAAATAAACCAAATGGGCTTCTTTTGCCTTGTTTGCCTCGCAAAAGAAATTCATAATCTCTCCAATCTTCCCCTTGTCAGGTAGGCTCCCAGAATTTATCATATCCTCACAAACAGATCGACCATGCAGTTGCGGACATCCATCTCTTAGTAAGAGATTGAATGGTGTAATAATAAACTTCTGCATTAGGACTACAACCAGACTCATCAAACTTATTGAAAACTTCATAGGCTGATTTACCTTTTTTCAATTTCCAGGAAATGGAAGTCAACCCATTAAGAATCTCAGTATTTAGAAGCTCTTTCTCCTCGCCCAACTCCTTAACCAAATCCCATAAGATGTAAGCTTACTTCGTACTGAGAGCAGGTAAACTCTTAACAGACTGAACAAAAAGCTCTATGTAGTTCTCGAAGTTCTCACAGGTTTCTCACTCTTCAAAGCCCGTTTGAAGAACTCAATCAAATTCTCACCGACATTATCCGAGGCTTCGATCACTTTCACCGCAAACTCCAACTTATCCAAGCTCAACCCAATCGCCTCTTCGGCGTTGGCCTTCAAAATGGACACAACGCTCTGCACTTGCTCGGTACTGATCCCTTCCTCGAGAATCGCCCAATTTGTCGGGGATTTCGCCAAAGGCGTCGCCTTTTTACGGCTTTCATTGGTTTCTTCGAAACTACAAGCTGAGACCTTGCTGGAATCGTCAACTCCATTGATTCCGAGATCTTCGGGATAGAAGCTAGGGTTTGCGGAGCCGTGCGACGAGAAGGACCTAGGGTTTTGGGTTAGGCGAGAGGGGAGAGGGAGTGAAGGGGGAATTAGGGCTAGGGTTCTGAGAGGTTGGATTTGGCGGGGATGAGAAAACGTGGGATCGTGGAATGGTTTGTTGAGAGAAATCTCTCGTGGGGCGGAACCGAAGGGTGTGGAGATAATAGGTTTAGCTCCTATAAAAAGAGGGTCAATCTTCTTCAAAATATACAACAGCGAAGAAAAATGAAAAACCTCTTACTCGTTACCGGAACCCCTTTCAAAATCTATTGCTTCTTATCTGTTTTCGATCATCAAAATCTATTGCTTCTTCTCTGTTTTCGATCATCAAAATCTATTGCTTCTTCTCTGTTTTCGATCAGGTATCAGAGCAGTCTCTCTCTCTCTCTCTCTCTCTCTCTCTCTCTCTCTCTCTCTCAATTTTTCTAATTCTTGAAGAAGAAGCACTCTCTGTTGAAGAAGAAGAAGAAGCGTTCAGTTGAAGAAGAAAAGGAAGCATTCATAATCCTTTTTTGGTCATAACCATGTCTCAAAGTTAAAAGCCACCGTACTCTTTGAAGAAGAAATACACTTTGTTGAGGTCTGTCAACGAATCATTTATTTTTTTTCCTAGACTACTCTCTTTTCTCCACTCTAGCTTGTAGCCGTTGTTCATAGCCTACTAGTCAAGTCTTGTCACATTTTTTTAATTTCTCAAGGGCTACATCCCTTTGTTTTTTGGTCCTACAACATAGCCTTCCAAAGCCAACCCTAGGTCTAGCTACATCCATTATTTTTCATAGCCTACTTGTCAAGTCTTGTCATAGTTCATTTTAACCTACTTGTTCAAGCTACATCCATTATTTTTCATAGCCTACTTGTCAAGTCTTGTCATAGTTCATTTTAACCTACTTGTTCATAGCCTACTCCTATCACGTGTACTACCCACTCATAGTTCATTTTAACCTACTTGTTCATAGCCTACTCCTATCACGTATACTACCCACTTACCATCTTCAAGGCCTACTCGTGACCTACATCTTCAAGTTTAAGATTAAAGCCCATGGGTCCCACTGCCTTTGCATCTGAAGAAGGTGACTTGCTCTCACAGCGCTAAAAATTCGACAAGTGTTGATCCAATCAACACCGTTGAGTGACAATCTCGCTCAAATTAGAACTTCTTTCATCAACTCGAAATAGTCAGGTTCATTTTAATTAATTAATTTATTTAACTTTATTATATTTTAGTATAATTGTCAAAATATCAACCTTATACATACTTTAAAATTGAATTTAGTTTTAGTTCTTTACCGAATGGCTAGTAAACTCGTTCCATCAGAACTAGGAAAAATTGACAAATTTAATGGTAGTAATTATGATATGTGGCATAGAAAAATATGATATGCTCTTATTCATGACAACATTAATGATGTAATCGAAACCATTGCTCTAACCCTTACTGATAAATCAACACCTGAAGAAGAAAAAAAAGGGTTTGAATAGTAGAAGTCGAAAGATAAAAAAGCGAAAAGCCTTATGCTCATGTTCATGGAAGATAACTTAATCAAAGTTTTTTAAACTTATAAGACTTCCATGGACATGTGGAATGCAATAAAAGAAAAATATGACACTGCTTCTGAAGTTAACATCCAACTCCTTTTGCATAAGTATAATTCTCTCCTTTTGCATAAGTATAATTCTTGTCATATGCAAGATGAAGACAATATCGTAGAGCATATAAATAAAATGATTGTCATGACTAAGGACTTATCCACTGCTGGGATCGAAATCCCAGAAAGAATGCAAGTGGCAACCATTTTGAATAGTCTTCACCCTTCACTTGCTGTGGCTACCACCACATTAAGAATGAATCCTGCTATTAAGTCTGTCACTGATCTTCCTATGCACCTAGAGATAGAACAAGACTTAATAGCCAGTAGGAAGGAACCAGAACTGAATATGGTGCAGCAGGAGCTGAATTATGTCTGCTAGAGGCATAATACTGGAAGCTATAAAAACCCTGGTCCTAGTAAATCATAATCACGAGGACCAAAGTCACAGCAGTTCAACAAAAAGAAAGTACCACGTGGAGCTTGCTACAATTATGGAAAGTTTGGGCATTTCAAGCCCAACTGCCCGCAAGGTGAAAAGCAGGAGAATAAGGGAGGCTATAAGCATCCAGAACAAGGGGGTATTAGCAAAAGAGAATTCGTCGGTATGATAGAATATAATGCTGTGATAACGGATATCAGTGGTTGGTGGATCGACTCCGGTGCGACTAAGCATATCACAAAGGACAATAATAGAGTCATAGAATTCACCAAGCTGAAGAAAGAAGAACAAAGAATCTATATGGGAAATAATACTTATCTCGATGTAGAAGGTATTGGTTCGTATATATTGGATCTTGGGGATAGTATTTTTGTCCTCAAAGATGTGTTCTATGCGTTAGGAATATTGCACAATCTGATCTTTGTTCCCAGCTTGATGAAGAAAGGACTGGAAGTTAGGTTCTATAATAACAACGTTTTTATAGGCAAGAATAATAAAGTGTATGCTATGGTAAAATATGTGCCCGAGCATGAATTATGCATTCTTCCAGTAGTTTGTAATAATTCTGATAATAAAATTTCAAATTTAAACTACTTATACTGTTATATTTTTGAGTCTGAATTGTGGCATTCTATACTAGGACATGCTAGTATTTCAAAAATAAAAAAATTTATCAGAATAAACTTGCTTCCTGCACTATCTAATATTCAATTGCCATCATGTGAACATTGTTTAACTGGTAAAATAACTAGAAAACCTTTTATTGGCGGACAAAGAGCCAATGAACTTTTAGGATTGATACACTCGAATATTTGTGGTCCCCTAAGTATCAAAACTCATAGTAATAAAGAATATTTTATTACTTTTATAGATGATTATTCTAAGTTTGCACACGCCTATCTTATATCTAGAAAATTAGAAGCTCTTGACTACTTTAAGAGATATAAGACAGAAGTTGAAAACCAACTTGGAATGAAAATCAAAATTTTGAGAACTGATAGAGGTGTGGAATATAACTCTAAAGAATTTGAAAGTTATTATATTCAGCATGGAATTAAAAGACATATAACAATATCGTATACGCCACAACAGAATGGTGTTGCTGAAAGAAAGAATAAAACATTGTTGAATATAGTTAATTAGATGCATGTTGTCTCATTCTGGTCTTTCTAAAAACTTTTGGGGAGAAGTATTATTAACTATAAACTATATTTTAAATAGAATTCCCACCAAATCAATTGTATCTACACCTTATGAATTATGGAATGGGAGGAAACCTAATTTGAATCATCTCAGGAAGTAGGGATATATAGCCAATGTTCTCATTCCATGTCAACTTAGAGATAAGTTAGATTTTAAAACAATAAAGTGTAGATTCATAGGATATTTAGAAAAGTCAAAAGGTTATAAGTTCTATAATAAAGAAAAAAGAGTCATTAAAAGCAGAGATGCTATATTTCTAGAGAATATAGAGGAAGAGGAATAAGTTCAAGAGGAAACAGAACCTCTAACTGTAATAGATGATGATTATTACAGTGTTGTTCCTACTAATGACCCTGATATTATGAATGAACCTAACCTTGAAAATGATAAAATACCTATAAAAAATAATGTACCTCATCAACCGATTGTAGGCAACAAAAGGCCAAGAACACAACCATCATGGATGGATGATTACTATTTGTATTCATGTGAATCATCTTGTTTTTTGGTAGATACAAATATAGAAGAACAAGATCCCTTAACCTTTTCTGATGCGATGAAATAGCATGAATCAGCTTTATGGCTAGAATCTACGAGAGAAAAACTTGATTCTATAGAAAAGAATAAGGTATGGGAGTTATGTGATCTACCAGAAAATAAAAAAAGCCATAGGATGCAAATGGGTGCTCAAAAAGAAATATCGTGTTGATGGATCTATTGATAAATTCAAAGCACGATTAGTTGCCAATGGTTACAACCAGAAGGCACGAATAGATTTTCAGAAGACGTATTCTCCTGTAGCTAAATTTGCATCCATTAGAATTATTTTGGCTATTTTTGCATATCTTGATTTGGAGTTATTCCAAATGGATGTTAAAACTACATTCCTTAACGGAGATTTGAAGGAAGCAATATATATGCAACAACCTGAAGGTTTTCAGGTGAAAGAACAGGAACATAAAGTTTACAAATTAATAAAATCTCTATATGGTTTAAAACAGTCTCTAGACAATGGTATCTCAAATTTCATGATGTAGTTACTAAACTTGGTTTTATTCAAAATAAATTAGATAATTATGTATATGTCTTGAAAAGTAGGAGCAAGTTTACTATATTATCCTTATATGTGGATGATATATTGCTCGTTAGAAATAACATAGAAGTATTGAATAAAACCAAGACAGATCTCAGCTAAAAGTTTGAGATGAAAGACATGGGAGATGCATCATATATTCTTAGAATTCAAATATTTCGAGATAGAAAGTCTAGAATGCTAAGTTTAAACCAAGAAAAATATTTGAGATTAGTGCTTAAAAGGTTTGGAATGGAGAATTCCAATCCGGCACCAACTCCGTTGGTTATGGGAAAGATATTATGTAAAGAGCAAAGCCCTCGAGGGGGGCAGAAGCCATTAGATGTTCCTTATGCTCAACCAATTGAAAGCTTGATGTATGCAATGTTGTGTACCAGATCTGATATAGCTTATGCTATGAGTCTAGTCAGTTGATATCAAAGTAATCTGGGACCAGCACATTAGGAAGCTGTTAAAAGGATTATGAAGTATATCAGCGGTACATTGACTCATAGATTAGTTTATCAAGCTGATTCGCTTGAACTCCTCGGTTATTCCGATGCTGATTTTGAAGGTGATAAAGATGATGGAAAGTCCACTTCAGGACACTTATTAATCTTTAGAGGAGGAGCTGTTTCTTAGAGTAGTAAGAAACAAGGGTGTGTTGCTAGATATATGTAAGAAGCTGAATATATAACTTGCAGTATGGCAACTACACATGCTGTCTGGATAAGACGATTTTTAATTGATCTTGATCTCAATTTGTTAGAAGGACCTATGATATTTATTGTGATAATCAAGCAGCAATTAGTTTAATCAATAGTGGCGCGAATAGCTCCAAAGGAAAACATATTGAGATCCAATATCACTATATTCGAGATAGAATAGCTCCAAAGGAAAACATATTGAGATCCAATATCACTATATTCGAGATATTGTAGAAAAGGGAGAAGTCAAAGTGACTTATATCCCTTCGAGATATTGTAGAAAAGGGAGAAGTCAAAGTGACTTATATCCCTACTACAGATATGATTGCTAATCTTTTGACAAAAAGAATACTAGCGGTATCTTTTATCAAACATGTAAGTTTGATGTGACTTAGGAATAAATAAAGTCCGAGTAATATTTTATGAATAATAAAATAAGAGTTACTCTCTACGGATAGTGGGAGTAATGGTAAGAAGAAATATCTGATCTCACAGATAGTGAGAAGCATGCCACTTGGTTAATTTGATCAAGTGGGAGATGTTACCTAGACTCGGTCTTATG